CGTAAAGTTGTAAAGTTGTATTCGGAAAGAATAAATCAGTTTTATTAAGTAAGGATTTGTGTCGCTAAAGTTTCGTCAGAACGAAGTTACGGAAAGTTAATTAACGAACGGAGACGTAACAATACTTATAAGGAGTTCAGCGTTCACAGTTTGTTAGGTGTAATGGGTGCAGTGAATGGATTCCATCTGGGAACTCGGGACTGGCATGTACTTTTAGAGAAGCTTCTAATGAAGATGTACAATTCTTATGTAGAGTTTGTAGGTTGGAGGAGAAGTTGGAGGCTATCACAATTCATGTAGAGGCATTAGGTAAAAAAAATGTAGACTGTAGGAAATGGCAACAGGATTTCAAGAGGAGCTTAAGTTTTTACATGCAAGGAAAACATCAGCTAACAATGACTTTCAGGAGGTTAGAAAGAGTACTGTCAGGGCTAAAAGTAGTGAATTTAATTGTAATGAGCCTATTTTATTGAGCATCAAATTTCAACCCTTAGCTTCTGCAGACGAGGAACTATTGGAGGAAAGGAAAACAAAAGGGTCAGAAAAGGGTGTGGATGATGAGGAGGTTATAGTTTGAGGTAATTCCTTGACAGGGCATGTGGGGTAAATCGTGAGAAAATAATCAGATTATGCTACCCAGGACCACGAGTGGAGTATATAATTGGCAGAACAGGAGATATAATAAAGTGGGCCATTAGAGATGCAGTTTTTGGCTGCAGAATAGTATTATAACGTGGTCGTTGTCTTTGTTATTGATTAATTCAATGAAAGTCAAGTCGTATAGTCGATATTCAATCACAGAGAATATGATATAAATTCATACTCTCTGAAGAATGGTATTTTCGTTTGTGCAAAAAACTGAAACAAAACATTGTTGAAATATTGTCACACCTAAGATGATTTTTGTTTGTTTGTTTTAGAGCAAAGCTATATTGGGCTATCTGCTGTGTCCTCCGGAAAAACCGAACCCTCATTTTTATCGTTATAAGTCCATGAACTTCCACACTTGAAAAAAAAAAAAAAACGAAAACTACACCACGCAAAAAAACGAAAAGCGTAAGTAATTAACAGAAAACAAAATAAGAGACAAGAAAAAACAGGTCTAAGACAGCTGAACGAGTTAATTCCTAAGAAAATAATGACTTTGTGCCTGCCAGGGCTTGAACCTGGGACCTTCCGCGTGTTAGGCGGATGTGATAGCCACTACACCACAAGCACCTGTTGACGGGTGTGGTAGAAACTTTTTTTCATTGCATTGCTCTAGTATTCGTACAATCTTTCAGATATATATGTTTGTATGACCTCCCTTCAAACTGTGTTATAGAATGTTTAATATTCTTTTTTTCTCTCTGTGTAAGGACGTGGTGCCATCTATGAATGTAGTTAATGTTAACTTACGGCAAAGGTAATAAATGCTAAATATCAGCAATAATGGGGGTGAAGGGGGTTCTGAAGCATTAACATGTCCATTGTTCCAAACTATCACCCACAACGTTTATTTGAGATTGGCCCAGTGAGTAGAAGTATTAGATAAAGGACAAACAGACAGACACAGATTTTTGTGCTTCATATATAGATAGATGGATGTAACTGAGAACTGCACTTTGAAGTAGATCAACTACCGTCAGCCCAGGTGGGTTGATAATCAATATCGCCATCAAAAAGAAGCTTTACCATTTATATAAGACGTAATTTGATATATATATATACATTGCACTTTCAACTAGATTTCTTTTTCATAATTAAAACTTTACGAGCAGTGGAGAAAGATGTATTAGATACATATATCTTAGGTTGCAGTAAAACGTACAGGGATTTTATTGGAATTAGTATTTTTAAATTGAGGTAAGTCGATATTCTTGTGTTATACTTACAGACCTAGTCACAAAGCATTAACCCCTAAGCTTACGAAAATAATAGCTAATCTTTATTGTAAATTTTTCTTTAATGTTATTGACTTTAGAAATAAAATTAGACAAAATCAAACAAGTGCTTGTGGTGTAGTGGCTATCACATCCGCCTAACACGCGGAAGGTCCCAGGTTCAAGCCCTGGCAGGCACAAAGTTCTCATTTTCTTAGATATTAGCTCGTTCAGCTGTCTTAAACATGTTTTCTATCGCTTCTGGTTCGTATTCAGTTAATGACTTGTGCTATTCGCTTTTTCGCGTGTATTTCCTTTTTTTGGGGTGTGGGGGGGATATAGAAAATTCATGAATGTGTAAGTTTAGTTTCTTTTGTGTGTGTGTGTCAAAAACTCGGAGAAAATTAAAACCATTAAAAATATAAAAGTATATAATCTTATTGTCTACAAGACTAAAATTCGGTTTGCTTGGAATTTTAGATTGTGAGTGGAATGTCAAGAATCCACAAGCACTCATGTTTAATTATACGCCTAGTGAGTAGACGTGTTTTTGACCTGCTCTTACTTGGTATTGAGATAGTGATTTGTGCTTTTTGTTTTTCGTGTGTTTTTTTAGTTCGAGTGTGGAAGTCCCTAGATTTTTGTTGATGTTACAGCAGTCCAGTATAGATAGCTCTTTAGATGTTATGAAGAAGACTGAAGTCATGCAAGCTGTTATTTCACAGTTTGGTGCTGCTTCAGTTACATCCATTGTCTCTCGTATGGGGGAAGAGGGGCTATGAGGTTATATTTATATTCAATAACGACGTTGAATTTGTGGTGGATTCCGGATTGACTATTCATGACGAAAACTGTGCGGCTCAGTAAATAGCTATCCGTACTTTGACCGTTTCATTTTTCGACGTTTCCAAATACATCACTGATGAGAGCATTATTTCTAAGTTGCATGAATTCGATTGTGATGTTAAGAGTGCTATCGTATGGAAACGGGACCAAGTCCTATATAATGGCATTGTGCGTGTGTCCTTTTCAGGTTTCCGTACATTTTTGCCTTATGTGATTAGTGTTGGATCCTTTGGTTAAAGGTCTTTTTATTAAAACAAAGCATGACTATCAGCGACGTGTGTGTAATAATACATCTCATGAAAATAACTGTACATATCTGGATAGTAAAAAATATATAGTTAAGGATAATTACTTAAAGTACACACACGGAAAATTTGTTGTAACAAAAAATATTACCAAACATAATAAAAATATGATGATCTGAAAATCATTAAAAAATCAAACAAAATTATCATTCCAAATCTCTGCATAGTATATAACCCTGTCCTCACCTACCAAATGAAACCCAAAAAAGGAAACACGTATAGCAATACTTATGTCAAGTGACAATTCTCTAGCGATCCATACCATTCTTTAATGCTTCATTGATAAATACCTATAATAAAATATTATTAAAAATTAGGACTGAAGAAAAAAACACTATTTTAAACATTTTACCCAACTTCTTTTCAGGTGCTTGTAATGTGGTGGTTATCGCTTCCGCCTAACTCACGGAACGTCACAGGTTTTATATGTGGCAGGCGTTGATTTTTATTTTCATTTTTTACTTGGCGCGAAATTGATGGGGTAAATAGAGTGGTGCTCTGAGCGCGAAAATTTTTTAGCAATGCTTAGAGGGCAGAAAGAAGATCGAGATAGCTTTGAGTTATTAGAGGTAAGACCGAATCGGAATTAACTTTTAATTACTCTTATTAAATGTCACACACAAGGAAAACTGAAATAGTTAATAACAAATATTTATTATGACTCGTTTTAGCAATAAAAACGTTCCCTTTCCACAAAACAAGATTAATAATACATAATAAATAAGAATAACCACAGCATAAAGCAAAACGTTATAATCACTCAAACAACCTTTTTTTTTAATATCAGCATTAGTGATTCCTAAAATTTCCAGTTAAAAATACAAATAGAGTATATCTTTAATAATGCCAGAAAAACTGAAGCATTTATAACTAAGTTTCTAGTTAATTTAAAAAGCTTGATAAACAGAAAGCTTATTGAAAACACTAGCTACAAATATATCACAAATCCACAACACAACTTTCTATTTAATTTGTGAAGCCTTCTGCTCCACTTTTGTAATAAAACAATAACAAGTTGGTTTTTAAATATTTCCCTATGACCCCATCTGTCTACACATACCTATATGGTCAGTTAGAACAAAATTCAACCAATGAAATTCTGTCTACATATACCTACAGGGAAAGATTAGAACAAAATTCAACCATTGAAATTTTGTCTACACATACGTACATGGTAAATTAGAACGAAATTCAACCAATGAAATTCTGCCTACACATACCTAAATAGTCGGTTAGAAAGAAATTCAACCAATTAAATTCTGTCTACACATACTACCATCTACGTTTGGTTAAAACGTAACTTTTCCAAGTCTTTTAAAAATATTTCAAAACCATGCAACTGCCCAGAAGAATAGCACAAGTTGTTCTAGATTCATTTGATGCCATAAAATTCACATACCAAGTTGTTTGAACAGTATTCATCTAAGGAAAGTCTTCTAAAAAAACTTGAAAAATAGCAAGCCAAAATTTTATACAACCCAGTGGCTATATTACTAAGCAAGAGCTTATTTATATTATCCTATGGTTCTGTAAAGATATTACCCAAGTTGTGAGATGTGAAGGAAATCTATTCATAAGTTTTAAACCTTCCTAAAGATTTGTGAAATTTAGTAGCATAACTTTAACAATGGTCTTCATATGCAATCTATACTCCAACAATGATTCTTAATGAAACTAACCCATAAAGATTATTTTAAAAAATAGACAACAAAAACTACATTACTCAAAACACATAAAATAGGTCTCGGTGAGCCTAATTCCTCACAGAATAACCTTGACTCTACATATTAACATTGAAAACTTAATTAAAACCTTCTGGAAGTTTAATATTGTTCAAACTAGTCAATAAAACCTCAACAAATTCTACCTATAGAGAAATTTAACAATTTTGAAATAACCTGTCAGGTGCGAAAAAACATTTTCTGATCAAACAACAGAATTAGGTATCTTACTTTTACTGGAATGGGAAACATTAAAGCAAGATCTATCCAATGCCTTCAACAATTTCTTCAACGTTCTTCTTCCTCTAAATAACTGCTGCTAGTTTTTGTTCATAAATAACATTTAGTATTTCTTCTTTATCAAATATACATATCAACATGTACTAACATCGTGGATTTTGTTAGCCTTGTACAGAAATACACAAACTACAACTCTGATGGGTTTTTTTTTATTTTTGTAGATAACTTTAATATAAATAATTTGCAGGTTTTCCCTTACCCTATCCTAAACACTAACCAACATGAATCATTACAACCTGGTATAATACCACATGATGGAATTTTTTATGATAGCTATATTTCTAATATTTCCTTACAATCACTTACTAATACTCAAGGATCTTGATAATCCAGTACAATACCAAACACAAGAGAACCACTTCCTTCTTGTAGACAGCTGTCATGATATTATGTACTAATGTTTTTCTTACCATATCTTTAACAACATGGATCTTCTGAGCCTGGTATGACAAGTATATATATCAAATAAAACAGCAAGTATCCTTATTATTACAAACAATTTTAAGGGAACTTTCTAGGTGATGTGATGATGAGCTAATATTCACTGTTGAATCAGCTGCCTATAAATAGAACTGTTCAAGTACGTACAGTAGCATAATATCACATTCTTTACAAAACTAATTCATACAATTATGCTGCATTATAAATTTTTATCATAATAAAATATATGTTAACCATTATTATAAAATAGTGTCCATTGAAAAATTATAAGTCAGTTTAAGTTTTCCACTATGTGGGAAATGTTCTTTTCGGAAGGTGAGAAACTATTAAAAAACAGTGCACAAAATTATAAACTGTCATATCTATTATCAATGTACCATGTTACATTTAAATCAGTTATCCTACAGCAATAACAAATATATTTCAACAATTTGTTTTACACTCCACTCCAAACATTTACAGGATTATTAGGCCTGAACCAGGTTCGATCTAGAAACACTGGACAGCTAAATATAGGAATGTTAGCATTACCTCTTAAAACATCTGAAAACAGTAATTAAATATTTTCTTTCGATTTTAAAATAATATTATTTTGATGCAGAAATCATTGAGCACTCCAAAAACGTTTTTTTTCCTTTAAAAAACAAAAATGATGAAAAAATATTTCTCAAAGATTATATTATTATTTACCATTATATTGACAAAACTTTACGAGTCAAATTTAAGGATCAGTAGAGTTTGAAAGGTTTCCTGGATCAAGCCTTGTCTAAACTGTATGTAATTCAAACACCGTATGATAAAAAGAATATTACCTGCTGAACACTCAGATGCTTTTTTACCTACAAGTTCACACACACACAAAAGAATTTATTTCAAATGTAATACCTAATGCTGCAAAGCTCAAGTTAAAAAAAAAAGTTTAAACAAGAGTATTTCAGGACAAGATGGGAAATATCACAAGAACATTCATACTAATCACATATTAAAGGCACACTATAATTTTTTGAATGTTTTTAAAATAGAGAAAACATTGATTCGTGTACATATATATTTGTATTTTGTTCCATTTAATTTTGAAATCCTTTTGCAAAAATGTCAGAAGAAATACAACAAAATCAATTGCTAGTTTTTACACAAGGAATGTAGATATAACATTTCCAAAACTACTAGCTCAACTTTCTGAATTTTCTTGTAAATATGGTGATCAGATATGTCCAAAGAAAAGAAGAAAAAAATCAACATCAACTTCCATTAATAAAAAGAAATGCTTCAATAACTTCTAATCCTGTAAAACATCGGATATCTATGCAATATGATGGCCCATGCCTGTTATACAAAATCACATGGAGAAATTATTTCTTCTAATCTAGTACTTTATTTTAAATGTACAACCATTTAAAACTTTTCCCAATTCAAATAAACATATTTAAATCTAAACTTTCAGCTGAAATGGTAAAGAATAAAATTTTAAGCAAACATCAAAAATAAAAAATTTACATATAAAACAGATAAATTTAAATAAACAGAAGATGCCACTTCAAAAAGTGAATAAAGAAACAATACTCTAAAAGAGTTCAAAATCTCTAAAGTATTATGATAGAAATTATTTTTCTACACTGAAAATATATTTCTGATACATACTTACCTCCTCTCAATAATAGCTTCTCTCATTCAATGCTGCCCTCTATATCCAAAAACATTTTTGCATGCTTGTATGCCACTAGCCTTGAAACTCTCACCTACCCCACAAATAATGTGGTTCACTGTATCTTTGTGTGTAAATTACTAAGCGACAACCCTTCACCAATAGGAGTAGGACATACCCTCCTGATGCACAATATTCATTCTATTCAATTCCACCTAATTATCACTTCGAGATTAGGCAAAAAGTAAGTACCTATTGGAAATATATTTTCTGTGTAGAAAAATAATAATTTCTGATATGTTCCTTACCTCCTCTCACATAATAGCTAGAATCCCACGTTGAAAAGGTGGAGGGATAAAGATATGCATCCTTCGAAAGCATCCAAAGAACACCCATGGAGTGTGAACCCCGTTAGGAAAGAAACACATGTGGGAGACCACACCTCTTCTGAACTAGGTATACTCCTCTCCCAGTGTGGTAGTAAGTATCACATAAATGAGTGGAAATTGTGAAAAGAACATCCAATAAGTGAGAGAAAAAAATCTTGGGTAGCCCAACCCCACATTCCACCAAAATCATAGTCCAGGAGATGAAATAATGTAGGATTCCCAGCCATAGACCAGATGGTGGGGAAAGCTAAAACGGATGTGCCCCTTGGTGTAAAATAGCTAGGGTATAACAGAACCATACTCAGTATGTCATCTCCAGTCAAAAACCCAGGCAGCATCAGGTATACATCATCCAACCTGTAGTAGGAGGAGGGTCCACACCATCTACACCTCAAGTTGAGTAGAAAGAAGGAGAAAATTCCTTATCAGTCAACTAAATAGGGCAAATATGCACAAATTCACAAACAACGGCAGCTATCTGGGAACCCAACATCTGAACGACTATAAGAAGAGACATGCCATTGTGGAAGTTCACTTTAAATCCAATAACCAATTTGACTGGTTCCACTCTGCGCAACATCATCTTCTGGGACCCTCCACATGGAAGTGAGTACACAAGGCAAAATTCCTCGACTGGGGTACAATGAGAAGTTACAACCAACATGTATGAGGACTTATGTTGATTGGTCCTGCTCTAATCCAAAGCCACTCACTTGAAACTGACATCCAGTTAATGGTAGGACAAGGGATCCCCACCACAAGGATGAACTGCAATGTGGCAGATCTACTCTATCTCTTTTATTATAAGATTATACACTTTATTATACTTTATAATATACACCCACTCTCTACTGAATGGAATTGAGCCCATTCAGGAGCAAGGACTCCCATAATCCACTAGAAGAGGGGGGGGGGCACAATGGGAATTCCAGAGGAATGCCAACACAGGAGACAGGGTAATGGTTGACCACAAAATCCCTATTTAGAAAAGCAGGCTGCCCCTGATGGTTAGGTGGAATCAAAGAGGGAGTAACATGCATCAGGAGTGTGTATCGCACTTCTACTGGTGGAGGGTTGTTGCATGATAAGTTAGATGCGAAGATGCAGTGAACTACATTCATCATGGGGTAGGTGGAAGTTTCAAGGCATAAGCATTAAATTCCTCAAAAACACAATTTTTCAAAAAACATTTATTTGAAATAACAATTCTTCAAAACCGTATGCGGTAATTTCTTCAAAAATGGCCTCAGACAAAGATATGACACAGATGCAGACTTCATTTTAAAGATTTGCATGATCTCTGCACAAGCATTTATTCCTACAGACCACGTTGCAGAGATGTTCAACTTTCTTATTGATGAAAACATTTTTCCACCCAAAGATCAACCCGTGGTTGATTATATTGAGAATAATTGGATTGGATGTCCCGATCCAAGACACCACCAACCTCCTGTATTTAAGCTTGAGATGTGGAACTGCTACGAAGGCAGGAAACAGGACTTGCCAAAAACTAACAATTCTAAAAAAGGAAGGCACCATGACTTTTTGCAACATGTTTCTGCAAATCATCCAAATATATGGAAGTTCATTTCTGTGATAAAGAGGGAACAAAATCTAAACAAGCAAAATATTGAGAAACTTTTGAGTGGTCAGGAACCTTCTATTAGTCAGAAAAAATACTGTGACAATGCAGAGAGAATAAAAAACTTGTCAATACGTTCCAAACAACAAATAATATGAATGATTACTTGTATGGTATTGCACATAACATAAAATATTAGTTATTACATGGTTAAAAGAAATAAATAATATTGGTGTTTTTTGAATATTTTTAATGGCCTGATAAAATTGCCCATTGTAATATCATGATGTAATAATATTCTTCATTCTGATTAAATATCTTTCTTTATGTACTCAATAATAACAGTCCATTTCACTTTGAAAGTTCATCGAAAGGTAAGTCATATGCATTTTAATAATATTTTATACATTAATTAATAATTAAAAATTGACCTGAAAATTGGACATTAGATTAACTGTTATTTTGAAGAACTGTTTTTTGAAGAATTGTTTTCGAGGAAATGTTTTTCGATGAATTTTCTGTAAATTGTTTCAAGGCTAGTAGCATGAAAAAAATCTTGCATATAGAGGGCAGCACCAAATGATAAAAGCTATGTGAGAGGAAGTAAGGTACTGTATTGGAGTTTATATTTTCTTTCCATGGAATATTTTTACTTAACAGGCATTGACCAATATTTACTGTGGAAGACAATAATAATAATAGCATTTTGTATTATATTTGATATTTCATGTAATCCATATGATTCTTAAAAAAAATGACAGTATGCCTTTAACTTCTTAACTGACTGCAAAACACATTGAAAATCTATCAGGAGTTGGCATCTGCTTTTTCGGAGATCATTTCATAGTCACTGACATCATTTCCACTAGTCTCGTCTGAGATTTCTGGATCTCTGTTTTCACTTCTTGAAATTCTTGGATGTGACCCTGTGAACATACCCAAATGAGAAGCTATTTCTTCTTCTACAGATTTTTGTAACTGGCCAATTATATCTAGGCCAGGGTCCATAAGAAGAGGTCGCTGAGTAACTGCTAAAGGTCTCTGGGAGGAATCTGTTGTCTCTAATTCAGAGAATGAAAGACCTTTCAGAAAGACTTCTTCTTCACTTTCAGAGGATAAACTTTCTTCTTTTTCAGTGGTAGTTTGATGCTGTGCTTCTCTTATTTCTTCCTGTTGTGGTAATTGTGCTTGCTCCAACTGAGTAGTAACTGGCAAATGTGCTTCAATGTCATCTTCACTTTCATCATGAACATCTGGGAAATTTCCTAAACCTTGAATCAATGATGAATCATCATCTAGAAGATAAATATATATAAACAAATATCTAAAGTTCAAATTAAGAATCTAGTTGGAATAAAACATTCACATATATTTCACATTCTGGGAATCCTGTAAGATATTACAATCACAAAATATAGTGTTATGTTAAACTCTGCATACAAGTTAATCAATTAACATAAAGTAAAGAATAGCATGGTTTTAAAACTATAGAAATAGATTAATATAATACAGTCAAAATTGAATGGTTCTATCAATTCTAGTAATACATTAATCTATCAACAAAATGCAGGTTTGTGCTGATTGTGCTTCACAGAATATATGTTGGCTTTTGATCTCATAAATTAGAACCCCCCTTTTAGGCATTGTGCATATGGGCCTACAAAACCCAAAAAGCAACATAAAAACTGAAGTCCTTTTGAATAAAGTATATTGAACCAACATTTCAAAATAGATTATTCTATTTTCAAGTAACAGGATAAAGGGTTTAAGGTCAAATGTGCACATTTATGAATTCAATGACTGGCAAGTCTCACTAAAGATTACATTCAATAGATTAATGTTAGTTAGATCTGTTTCTTACACTAAATATTCAGTTGCATAAAAATACATTAAAAGTTAAAGAAATTTAGGAAGAAGACTTGTATCTGGTTAATGTTTAAAGCCAATTTTTTAAAGTTAATAAGCAATTTTTTATAGTTTGACCGTTATTCAAAACACAAGTTTATGAAATTTAAACTTTAAGTGGAACTTTATATTTCTGAAATAAAAAGCACTTTGGCATTGTTTATCTCTACATTGATCCTGAAATACTCAAATGTGCAAAAAAAAAGTCCTTGTTAATCTTCTCTGGTCAGGTCTAACCAGCCTCTTGATAACATCCTTACCATTCACCTAATTTTCCTTAGATAAATCATTATTATCGGATTACCATAACCATAGTGGTGGATTTGTTTCAAAATGACTCCTTTTACAATTTTTTCAGCTGCTTTAAAATGACTGTACTGTAAACAAAGATAAAACTTTCACAAACACTTCAAAGCACATATGCAGTAAAGAGCTGCTGTCAATTGTTTCAATTCTTAACTGATTAACATTTTCCAGCCCAGTATTTTATGTTTTTATGATAAAAAATTCTAACATCGCACCCCCTTTAAAATACAACTATAACTAATACGTTCAGTTTTAGAATTTCAGATAGAAACTTTATCAACAATTCTTTTAAATAAGGTAATAAAAAATCTGCCTGCTAAACATAATATTAATTGGGGACTTTTTTTTTGTTAAATAGATATCCATAATTTCCAAAAGGCATACATAGGTAAGATAAATACTATTTGTATTACTTTTAACAATAAATGCAATCTTTTATTGCAAAATGTCTTTCAACAGAGAGCTAACATATGACATTATTAGGCCTATGCCTTCTGATTAAGAAATTAGCACACAGGATTACATGTAAAAGTTGTAATGGTTTTCAAACAAGACCCAAAACTCGAGCACCTTCAATAGTTCACTATTCTTCTTCAGGAGAACAAAGAAGAATAGTGAACTATTTTAAAGTGCTCAAGTTTTGGGTCTCGTTTGAAAACCATTAGGACTTTGACAATATTTGTTACTACTCAAAAAATACATAAAGAAAAACCTGAATAACACAGCTGTGCAAAAATATACAAATGTTGAATACAAACTTCTCTTTCAAAAACAATTATTTATTTTGGGAAATGGCTAAGATAAGAGCAAACAGAAATACTGATGTATCTTTTAGTCATAGAATCTATATAGCAAGTACAACAAACAAGTGCAAAAGCTGTCTTTTGGGTCAGTAGTTACGGGCATATTGTCAGTGGTTTTTTATTAATTGTAATTTTACATAAAAAAATATAAATTATATCTAAATCATTCAATATTATCATGCTTTATGTTCAAAGTCTTTGTGTTTCTGACATGGTAATATTTAAGAGTTATTAGTTTTTATGAATGCAAATACAGAAAAAGCAAGACACTGTCACCAGACTGGAAAAGGTTAAATGTTGCAAGGGTAGTAAAATAACAGCAAAACACTAAACCTTATTCCATACATTCAGTAATTCTTCAAAACATAAACTATCAGGATGTGTATGTCACATATTTATTAGTACGCTATATAAAGGGCAATCTAGAGCCTTGCTTTTTAGAATCATTATCAATATCCTAGCTACATACAAGTAATTCACACACTAACTGCAGTATTTAAATGAAAAGTACTAAGTGTCTATAATCCATCTTAGTATTCTACTTAACAAGATACAAAAAATTACAAATTTCATATTTATATATGTACCTTCATTAGCAACAGTTTCTATCCCAAGTTCCTGAACAATAGTCTGAAGTTCTTCTGGATCAGGCTGTGTTAGTGAAGATGTTGATCTTGAATTGGAAACATACTTGTTATTACTCTTATCTTCACTAAGGCTAAGATCAGCAGCAATGGATTCTGTTGACGCTGGTGGCAAGAATTCATCTAACTCACTTTCATTATCTGTGTTTTCACCAGTCAAACATTCCTCTTGAATGAGACGAAACAATAAAGTTCATTTAAGTTCCTGTTAATACACCTCTAAATATTAGTAAATTTTGTCAAAATACATCCTCAAATTTATTTCTTCTCTTGTAAGGCCTTTTTTCCTTCACATGTTTTCGTATCATGTACCATCACGTCAAGTAAATATATGTTACTGTTGTACTATGTTATAACATAAAATTTGAATCATAGATATGACAATAGTAGGCACTTAACCTTTCAACTAGGTAGAAGATGAAACTTCAAGTATTGGTAATTTTTCCTCTGGATTTTGTGGTCAAATTTTTTTTAATTTATCATTAAGTTTGATATCCAAAGAATTTAAATTCTTCTCCTTCAATTTTATTATTAAAATTATTTATTTTAATGCTATTATTATTACTATTTTGAAGCTTAGTATGTTCTTTTAAAAGTAAGGATTATGGAAACTTAATCCACACCAAAACTATAAATCTCTAATTCTACAGATCTCTTGTACACGTGATTTGTAAACTCTTGCAAAGTACTGAGCACAAGTTTTATTACTTTTTTCCAAAGTTTGTCTAGGTTAATACACCCCAAGTGTTACAAAAAATATCCCAGAATTTGAGCTTTAAAAGCACTGTGGAATATATATCCAGAGCTTGAGATTCTATTACTTAGTTATGTTGTCAGCACTTGGAACATTCTACAAGCCTATGTAGTGTCTTGACACTCCCCATGCAATTTCGAATAAAACAATAAAATCTTGTATGAAATGTTTGCCAAATTACTTGAATATCTCCTATTTTTCTGAATTTTTCCAAGAGCACAAAAAATATTAATTCAAATGTAACTGCTTCTTTATATAAAGTTACTAAAATTATGTCTTTCTAATGCAATAAGTTATTGGTGGGCAGACATACAGTTAAACTTCCAACAAGAAAGGAAAGCAGCAATCAAAAACAATAATAAAGCTGAAGTGATAAATGAATCATAGGCAAGCATAACCCAATTTTCCTTGTTTTAGTTAAAGAAGAGTAAGATAAATATATTCATTTTATTTGTTAATGGAGTGAAAGATTTACAGCAATTTTTTCTATAATAATACATGTAAATGTAACTTGTTACTAGAATGAAAACAGTAAAAAAAAAACTGTGAAGAAAGAAATGTAAAGTACAAACTTCAATATTTATTACGACTAGAGATGGAACAAGTAGTAGTTTTGTTTGGATATCTGAACATATTTGGATATTTTCAGGCCAGATAATAGATGAGGCCATACATATTGAAAATGTGTTGCAGCATTGAGCTACCACTTCTTTATATTATTGTATTAAATTAGTTACTTTGTCACTGTTTATGAAAATTTCGTAAGCAAGCACATGGAGATGTACAGGGATGAATGAGTGGACACTATAGGCCCTTTAACGGAATGTGGGTCAAGACTGTTGTTTGGACTGCTCTAGCTACTGCTGTCGCTGCCCACAGGTAGGCACAATATTTATTTAGAGTACGTAACAACCATCTATGTTACAACTACCGGGGCTCCTACATTTTAAAGGAGGGAAAATGCAACTACATTTAAAAGTTAATAGAAATCATTAATAGGCTAGATGATGCAATATCTAATATGTGTGTGGTGCACATGCAACTAGTATCATGCCTGAATAATACTAAGAAGTAATCTGTTGACAGAAATGCTATCTGATTATCATATTTATCAATTAATATTTAATCAGATCAGATTTCACCAGACACTGCAATATCTGATCAGAACAGATATTTTTTTCCATCCCTAACTATGACTCACTAGTATGGAAAGTGTAAAAATGTTCAATTGTAAAACTGAACTCAGACAGATTCAAATACACACAAGTGTACAAAGATAAATGAAAAAATATAATTTTGTATAATGAACAAGTGGGTTTACATTTACCTGGAATTTTCTTTTTTTCCTGAGCAGAGCAAATTTCAACTAGTTCTTTCATTTTGCCATGCCAAGATGCAGGTACAACATACAATAAAAGGCCTGGTCCAAGGGACATGATCATTACTGAAAACAAACAAAATAATAAAAATGCTGCTCAACATAAACCATACTTTGAGATAATACTCATAAAGTCAAAAAATACAAATAGAATTATAATCTTCGTGAAATTCTCTTAAGAGAGGTAAAACGTGCAAAATACAGATTTTTATAATCATCTTATTTACATATGCAAAAATCAGTGTTGTGCAAAATGGCATCCTCTCGGGACAATATAAAAATTTAAACATCCACCATTTTATTTATGTTCACCCTAATGACATAAAACAAGTGTCAAATATTTCAATTTTCCTATGTAACTTCAATAATATAATACTATGGTATTAATTCTTGTACTGACTTTAGGTCATTGATTTTCCCAGTCCTCCTTTGCTTATTGTGATGAACTGTGATAGTGAGTATTTTACAGATAAACCCTATATTTGGCCATGAAATTACAAATTTGTAACAGGGTTGTCATATTAATTACAATATATACGTTATGGTTAGCATAATACAGGTTACAAGTGAAATTACAATATATATGTTATGGGTTAGTATAATACAGGTTATAAGTGAAAAATTATAATTTGTAATTCACTGAAGTCTGGTTCCAATCTATTTACTCATGAGTATTCATCCATGTGTGTTATTTTGTTTATTTATTTAATGAAGTTTTGTATGGAGTGCAGCGTATTTAAACATACCAGTTATAATGTTAGCACCATGTAGTTTGTTAAAACTCTATTAAATAGCATAAATATGAGAAATTTAAGAGCATTATAATCTAAAGATCAAGCATGTATCAGATTAAATTTAACCTAAAGCATAGTCTTTTACATATTTGTTACACTCCAATTTTTAAAATTCCCTGAAAATATTGACAGGATACATGTCTCACTGATTCACCCTTTACTAGTCAAAGAATGAGTCTGTAAATATCCTAGTATCTGTTTACGTGACACTGGTATACATATACACATCCATGTGTTTTACTAAGATAAGCACACGAGAGAATGGGTACGAGAATATATTAATCCAAATCAGGCCCTAAATTTGTATCTGTAAAACATTTATACTAAGTTTATTTTGAAAATTCCTACATTTTTATAAAGTAAAAATTATAATGTTATACACTCTTTAGTTGACACTTAACAAAAACTATTAAGGCATGAACTTTAAAAATAAAACACTGTACAACAAAAACTTAACTCACAGTATATTACTATTATATTATTTTTTCTGTAAATTTTACTTAATTCCCAGATTTGTTACCAATATTTTTATACAACATTTATATACTCACCTAGAGTATAGACAGTGATGACATCAGGCACAAAATTACCAATAACTGATAATACTATCATACCAAAACAAGTGATGACACAAAACTGGGGAAGAAAAAACAAGCAAACATAACACTCTAGATATTTTATATTAATAATAATATTAATAATATTATTATTCAAATATATTCCTCTAGAAGAACTGATAGTGTAAACTTTCATAAGTGATTTTTCCCAATTTAAAAAAATTTAAACAAGTTTTCAAAATTTGAGCAACTATTTTCATAATAATCATATCAACATTTTCCAACTTCTTTCTTAAATATATGGAGAAAAATTAAAAATAAATATTTAGTAAACTTAACAACAGAAATGTAGCTAAAATTTCTATCCATTTTAAATTATTTTTTGTATAAAAAAAAAACAGTATAATTTAATACTTTGTAGATACTGCATCATTAGTGGGTCTCCTACTATTGCTTTCATTAGTCATATTCATGATCCAAATCCTGACTGTTGGAAAACCTTATGTTTCATGTGAGCCTTCTTTGTGACCATCATCCTGATAGTCAAAACACCTACTGATTTGTGTGAACGTTCTTCATATTTACCACCTTACATGTACTTTGCTGGGAGGTCTATTGGTTTTGTGTGAACTTTTTTATATAACTACCACCATGCAGGTACTTTTTTTTTAGACCTATTAGCTTTGTATGATTACTTTTTATGATAATTATTCTATTTGATTTACAGACATTGGTTTTGAATGAGCCTTCACAAAGGTGCAGTTGTACAAAGAGAAAAGATACAACTCTAGTTGAACACTTGACAACAACAGAGAACACTCCAGTGTTGAACATTCACCTACTTAAGGGGTTAATCACATTTTGTAAGAATAACCATCCATCTACATTATCTATTATGTTGAGTCTGATGGCCATGAACAAGTACTTAGTGCCTAACACCATAATTTCTGCTGTAACAACACAATCAAACTCAGACAACATACCTTAATAAATTTTTCACAAACCCTGCATTGTACATAAATGTTGGCTTTCAATACCATGTTTAAGTAGATCAAACGCAAAAAAATTTATTGGACAGCTATGATTCAATTTTTTTTTGCCGTATTTCTCTGTTGATTTTGTGGTGACGCTGAGAGGTTTTGAACCTCAAGTTTACAAGTCTTCATCAACTTCAAATCCTTGTTTGTTATTTTCTCAATGATACTACAAAATATGTCAAGACTCAACATCATGGCTTACTGAGTTAGAGAGCTTCCTTCATCTTGAAACTTGGCAAACGAGGGCACTGTTCTAGATTGGCTTGAGAACACTGTTGCTTTTCTAAGTGCTTTGATGGAGGAGTTTTTACACTTCTATCAGAACAGAGAAAGCAAAGCACCTTTCTTCCAAATGTTGTGAGCTTTGGCTTTGCACTGTTTAAAAATCTTGCTATACAAATAATATCTTCCCTCAGAAAAGGTTGCGTGGCAATGTTGGATAGTCAAACATTTGATGTGAACCAAATAAATTGGGATAAGTAAATCACTTGTGGAGTCACATCTCTTACCTGTACCAATGCACCACTGCATTAGTATATGATGTGATTCTTATAAAGTGCAATTACCGTATTTTTCGGAATATAAGACGCACCCTTATTTTGAAGGCAAAGTTTAGGGGGGGGGAAGCTAAAGTCTCATTTGAAAGATTTTTATTGAACAAAAATTCACTTTGATACTTTAAAAATTAGTATATATTGTTCTAAACACAAAAGAGCTCAAAACATCAAAATAAGAAAATACCGTAAACAAAAAAAGGTTTACTGTTATTTAGTTTGGTTCAAAACCTACAAAATCTTCATTGCTTTCACTGTAATTTATTTTTTATTATTTAGGGAGCATTATAAATAGTTATGTTTTTAAAAGAAAAAAAAACTACTATTGTTATAAATAACACATTCAATTGAACTAAACTATGCATGCCTATTTAAATATATTCACACATGGCTTGTTTATATCATATATATACATATATATTATTCATACCTTCAGTGTATAGGACACAAGCAGATTTTGACATCAAATTTTGGGGTAAAAAAGTGTGTCTTATACACTGAAAAATATGGTAGTCATCTTACAGACTTAGTAATACTGAAAGATTTTAGTAGCAACACAAACAAATATAGATACACCAAACCTAACAAATTATCTCAATTAACTAAAGTGTCCCAATTTATGAAAAAATAAATGGATACATGACAAGTATCTCCCAAATCTGCAGACAATGGGAAATGTGTTACATACGTAAGCTTAAGAGAGCTTTTTTTAAAGATAAGATTCCTCTAGCAAGTTTCAGATACACTCAATAAAGAAAAACAAAAATAGATTAGTCAGATTTTTGGTAGAGTACTACCCACTCAGGATAAGAAAGACTACACGAGCTGATACAAGAAACAACTCTAGTAATTACAACTTAACTCAATCACCTAGGCAACAGAATGTGCCACTCATACAACTGAATTTAAAGTGAAATACAAAGAAAAAGAATAAAATGCAAATGAGGAAAACTTAAGGACACTGTATAAAAATTATATTATTTATTCAAAAAGTGTATTAAAGATAAAATGCTATGATCAAGAGGATGAAAGTAGAGTACATGAAAAAATATTAAAAACATTTAGAGAGATATCTGTAAAGAGAATTTAAAATAAAGTATAAAAGAAGCAGTAAACTTTAAAAATCAAAGGAACTTTCATAGCTACAAATTCCTCACTAAAATCACAGAAAATGCTACCAAATGATATTGCCTTATGCCAAACTTCAAACAAATTAAAGAAAACACAAGTGTGAAAAAATTCTTATAGACTTCAGGATGAGAGAAGTGAAGCTGGATTTAAATATACAAGACTTCCAATATAAATGTTAAAAATAATAATTCTTGTGATACTTCTATATAGAAATATTACACACAGATTATGAAACAGTGCGAGTCTATATTGCATGTTATATGTAACTTCTTTTACATGCTCCATACATCTATCATGGCACCATTCATGTGCATGTAGTGATCAAATGTGAAACAGAGGACAACTTGTAGGTAAAATGGAACATGTGCCTTAGAATCCACAACTCAAAGCAGTCTCAGCTATTTCATTCCTGAAACTAACTTTGTAATAATTAAAAACTTATGAAAGTTAATATTTCCATGAGGCAAGAATTTAAAATATATACATAATTAAACCCTATCATACTGATAGGAGATCTAGCAACAATGTTTAAATCTATTGCATTAGAAGTAGAACTACTGACATAATAGCATGTATAATGTGGCAAATGAATCAATCAAATTTGTGACTTTCAAACCCTTTTCAAATTAAAAATCAGTCAGTACAAAGTTATCTATTTTCAAACCCAATAACACTTTACCAAAACAACCAAAAATTAATTACATATGTAACTATTTTCTACTACCATTCAATAATATGGATGTTATATACACATATAAATGATACATAAACTAGCATTTCCCAAACTTTTGTCATTCATAACCCCTTTGATAAATATAGTTTCTTGCACACACACACACACACCCTCTTTTTTTAAATGAATGAAAGAGTGAGTTAAGTGATGAGAAATAATACACAGATACATATTAAAATGTTATATGTTGTAGTAATTACTTATTATTTTCATTAACAAAAAATATATTAAAATGCTTAATTTTGCATTATTGCACTATTAACTCTACCATAATTGCTCCTACCCCTCCAAGAGATCATATGCCCCCCTTCCCCCCCTAGAATGGGAAAAAATTACTATACCAATGTGGTGTATATAGAAGAAAAGCACAATCTATTCAATATAATGGATCATTATAATTTTACACGTTCAGCTACAAACTAATGCATTTTTGTTCAACAGGTCTTGTTGAGCACCTTGTAAGAATACCAAGTTGCATGCAGGCTTACAGTCACATAATAATCACTTACTAAACCATGATTTACTTCTCGCAGCCGCCAGTAATCATGGACCAATCTCTCCATAGTTATCTGCCATTCTCTGAAGTACAAGCTACACCCTGGTACCTCTTTCTCAGAATATCTAAAAAGTAACAAGATAATTGAAATGTGTAATCATTTGTAATAAGTAAATAACTTGTTGGTTCTAAAACATAAAACAGCTCAAAGTGGGTAAAATCTTATGATCAGTTGATAAATTTGTCATTTTAATTAAATAAAAAATATACCTTTATTTGTACAGCTTAATACGAGTAACACTATGAATCCAATATGCATTGTTGTGACTATCTCCTATGAAACTATGACAGTTTGTAAGTGCCAAGTTATCAAAATACATCATTCAACAATCTAGACAACACAAGATTTGAGTGTCAGTGGAGTAGGACAGGAAGACAACCCTGTGAGAGTGAACACAATGCAGTGTCATAAGAAACTAAGTCAAAGAGATTGATTAATGAATTCAGACACAATAAAGAAATTACAAATTATCACAAAAATACAGGACATAGTTATCTAACTGGAAGAAAATTAAGATGTGAACAAAGTGTGCTAAACATTCAAGTGACTTTCAAAACATCTACAAAATCATTCTTAAAAAAAATAGAACAGTATGAAGTTTCTAGTAATTCATGTCAGCTTTAGGATGCTGAACACAAGCCAACAAAACATCTCAAGTAAACAAGACTCAATCACATATGAATAGGTCAGTAAAAAACAACACACCGGCAAACTGGTCTACCAAGATCAAATAAAAAAAGCGTAAATATTTTAGTTTGTTATAAATGTTACAACAATAAAATAAGATCAGAAAAAGAAGGTTATAACTTCCATTTTACAAGAAGCTGTTGGGAACCAAAGGTTTAACATTGCCCTTTTGGTCAAGAGCACTGAAAAGCTGATGAACAAAGGAAACATTTTGTTTTAAAAAAAGCCTGCACTCATATTCTCAATATGCCTCAAGCAGGGTGAGTGTGCAAGTACAATGAAATGACCACAGACTTTCCTGAAGCTACTGAACAATTTTTTACAACAAAAAATTCCATGAATCAAATATGAAGTAAAAGATAATGAAAAATGTGTTCTTACAAGTCAAACAATAAATTCAGGTAATCAAATACAAATCATTGATCTAAAAGTGAAAACAACTTGTTTAAAATATAAAATAAAAAGAACCAATATCAGGAATTTCTATACTTAAACTTTTGAAAAACTCTTCAATATAAGCAAACAGATTTCAAAGAAATTTGGAGTAATCCCAAAGTATGTGAAACAGCAATTTTAGAAGCCAACTCAGAACCAGGAATCTATCTATACAGTACTAAAACTCTGAGATTGTTTGTCTGTAATTAAATACAGCAAAAACAGTGCACAATAGCACCCTATTTATAATGAAATGAGAATACAAATAGAATAAAACAAGTTTCATTAAAATCGGACCACGGGTTACCGAGTTAGCACCATTTTTCGGGTCACTTTTATGAAAATGTCTAGATGAATTTAGGTACACTAGATGAAGCCACATATCAGTTTATCTATCTATATACTACTAAAACTCTGAGATTATTTGCTTGTCTGTAATTAAATACAGCAAAAATGGTGCACAATAACACTATATTTGTAATGAAATGAGAAAAGAAACAGAATAAAACAAGTGTCATTAAAATCAGGACACGGGTTACCAAGTTAGCATTGTTTTTCGGGTCACTTTTATGAAAATTTCTAACATGAGTAATTTTACATCACACTACCAATCGTGCTCTTTACGAAACTTCTATATTCAAATCTATTTCCCTGTCAATGTTCCCATCTTCTTTGAAAAATGAAATGGTCTTTCCTTTTACTCCTGATCAACAATCAAATATATTTTCTTGAATTATGAATAACACGAATAGATTGAAATATTTAATTAAATTATCTCAAAATAAACCTTCATTTCGATGTAATATTTAAATTAGCTTGAATTCTTCATAACCTCTGAATATTGGGTGACCCAATGGGTCACGGTGGTCCAGTATTACAATAAAGGATCAATAATATTTCTTCTAATACTGCCTTAACATCAGGCTTAATACAACTGTACAGACTAATATATTGAGTACACTGTGGCATGCACAGGTTTTTCAGTAGAATGATTAAAAGAAACATAACAGAATAAAACACACAAAAATTAAATTTTATCATGCAGTATCATTTAAACTTGTATATGTATGTAAGATTTGTCTTACTTTTCCAAAAAAAAATGTGAAACTTACTCTTTCTGACCTTGACTTTCAGACAGTTGACTGTTCACTAAAAGTTATAAAAAAAAACTTTTAAGTTCAAAATACTTACAATAAATATTACTATCTGTAACAGAAGTGTGGTAGCTTAACAACCTGCACTATAATTAATTTCACTTTATTTTTATACATACTTACCTTATGTCCACTACTGTCTTCAGAAAGTATTCATTTTTTTTTGTTCTTTGTACTCACAGTATCACATTAGTTAATAAACACTAGAGTACTTATATATATACACGTGCATAAACAAGGTTAATAATATTCTCCAAAGAATGGCCTACTTAAATACTTATTAATGTCAAAGTTAAGATAAATGGAAAATAATGGTATTTCAGTGGATGTCTACACACCTTTCACTGCAATACTTATCATACCATGAGAATCACTTGACTTAAAACTGGGTAATGTGATGCAACTTCATAAAAGAGTCCTAAAAATGTTGCTAACACTATAGCATTTTACATGGGTTGTTAATCAGTGTAGCTGAAACCTCATACTACCATGGGTGGTGATACACTAATATAACTAGTGCTTCTATTAGTCATTGCTGTTTATGCTGATAAGTTATAATATATTAAATATCTTTTGAAAAGTAGAATATTGCATTATAAACTACAGAGACAAAAAGTTTTTGAGTATATTACCAACTGTTTTAATGGAAGATTTATTAAAAACATGCACTCACAGTTGAAAGAAAAAAATAAACTGTCTTGCTGAAATGTGGCTGAAAATTCAATACACTAATTCTTTAAACATAGCTGTGGAAAAACTTGCATTATTTAATATTAAGTAAACTGTAAAAATTTGATGTGTTTCAGTCTCCTACTTTTTTCTACTATATACAATCAAATTTTGTAAAATGTATTTGTAAATAGATTTGGTCACAGGGATGATACTAAAAACTTACTTAATGGTTAAATCAAGTAATTAATTTGCTTTTTCTAGATATTTTTGTATTATATACATTGTGTTACATATTATTATTATTATTAAAATACTAAATATGAATAAATCTAAAAATTCTGTACATAGCAAACATATCAGTCATTTTGAAAAACTTATCAAAACAAACATGAATCAAATACCATTTACTTTGTGATTGAGTTAATACCTTTATATAATTTCATAATTTATCTTATGAATTCTTGTTCTCAGGCTCTTTCAAATGCTTATACTATTACTTTTCAGCAACAGGTAACATTCACATGCTCATGAAGGATTAATATTTACCACTGTTCCTGTATATATATCTTACTTGTGGAGATTTGAATTTCATTTTGATTCTAAAATTTAATCTTAAATACGTAAATATACCTCTGGAAGAACAATGAGTTAGATCCCTATATTTAAAAGATGGAGAATTCCGATAAATATAGAAATACATACAGATAAAGTGTCTTTGTACTGTTAAAAGTCATGTATATGCATCTTTCCAAAGGTCCCAACTAGAACATTTTTAGGAAGTACCAAGTTCCTGAGTCTTTCCTACATTATTCTGGGGGAACAAAAATATTCAGATAGTACCTAGGATGATTTTAACTGGAGATGAAACCTAGGTAAGGGAGAGACATGAATTTGAGAGATTCCATGACATATATATGTGTGTGTTCCTAATAGTATGATCTAGGAATTGAAAGAAAGCAAGATAAATGGATGATAGCTACATACATGTCTCTCTCACACTACAAGACATGAAACAAAAATTAAAAAAATAAAAGCTAAAAAACCCAAAATGTGAAGATAAAAGCATCCCCAAAACATAAAGTTACAGAATTTCTAGAAATAAATGAAAATATAGCCTTTTTTTATAACCTCACAACTAAAAAAAAATGTAGAAAGCTCAACCAACAAGATATGATCAGAAAATCAGAACACTGCGTGTTAGCAGTTGCAGCTCAATCATATACTTTCTTCAGTTATAATGAATCCATGTTTTCTCAGCTAAAAGAGGGGACACATAAAAAAAACACACACACAATCAATACACCTCAAGAACGTGTGTACTGTGTTATGCTGCATACTCTAGATAATTATGTTGCATTGCAAATTTTGTACCTGTTGAAAAATTGTAACTTCTTTTAATTTATAGTTTTCAAAAAACAATATGAAGACCAAGGTTAAATAAAATTAAATCTTTAAAATTTAAAACATATATTCATGCAAGGTATCTATACTATATACAATGTGAAAAAATATCTAAATATATTTTCCAATTTTAAAACATTTTTACATGTAAATACATCTAATGTATAAACATGTACATGTGTAAAAACTATTTTGAGGGGAAATATATCACCAGTACAAGAAATCAAGTATTGTTTATATATTTTTTTTTGATAATTCATATACTTAATGTGGGTTCTATTAAGCTTACTGAGAAAAAATAAAAATATAAATCTATCTATCAATTGTAATTCTAAAGATTAACAGAAATATTTCCCTTTTTTTCCTTCTCTTCAGCTTTACAACAAACAGCAATTGGTTAAACAAATAAGTAGATATGTAGGTAAGCAGATTAGCTATTACAGACCCAATCCCTATTAAACTTGTAAGTTTTTAAAAATTAATGTGACTTGCTTATACTTGAAGGATACAGAAAATTCAGTTTTCAAAATATGAAACTACGACTTTCCCACACAAATTAATAATCCTTAGCTGTATTACATTCAGCAAACATTTTAAGGTCAGCCAATTATAATGTTTAATTTGATTCACATTTCATGATATTTTTCAAGTATATTCATATTAAAATAAAAATTCAGTTTGTAAAACATGCATACTGAAATGCACATGTTGTACAAAGCACAATGTTAACAAAACACCAGAGAAGATTACATGCATCAAGTTGAGTTCTCTGTATCTCAAAAATATTTTAATTAAATAATTACTTATTCTTGGGTCTAAACCTGAACAATTAAATAATATGCAAACCTAAACCTTCTTTTTCTTCACTATTCACAACAAACTTATGTATTTAAATAGGAAGATTGAGAAAAAAATAGAATTTCAAATGTACGATATATTATTATCAGTCCCTAGGACAAACTACGTAACCATTTTGTGCTTGTTATAATTTTCATGCTATAACTGTTAAATTAGTAAGTATGATAACAAAATTTGGCATATTATCAGTAAACATTACAATGTTTTCATATGCAAAATATAAATTTTTTTTATTAAGTCTTAAGGTTTATAAAGCAATGTTTTTCTCATGCCTTTTTTTTTCTTTTCACATGTTGCCAATCCAACAGGCAAAGTAATTTTCATTTTAAGATTAAAAATACTTTTATGCATCAACTATCTGGACATTATAAAGATTTTGCATGTGAAATTTGAAAATTTTCTCTTTAAGTGACTTGTGTTTACAAGTGTATTTGATAGTGTTTCCTTTTGTGCAGGAACAACAGTGTGAGATCTTTAAGTGACTTGTGTTTACAAGTGTCAGAACCCTTTGACAAAGTAGCTGCAGCTGTTCTTCCTTCATTTTCATGTCTTCTGTTGTCTCCTGCCAATTTCTGGAGACATTTTAACAGGTGTGAAAATATTTTTCTTTTTTAAGTTAGTTTTTTAATGTTTTCAATGAGTCTAGTTTTGAAACTGTTTGTAGTTGTTTAATAAGAATTTAGTTTGAATATAAGCACAAAATAATACAGTCTGATTTAATCTCCAGTTTCAGAGATTTTGTTGAACTTTATGTATGATTTGTGATACAAAGTACACATTGTTTTTATTAGTAGTGAACAGTAGTTTTGGTTCATTACAAAATACAGCATTTTGTGTATAATATGAAAATCACATTATTGGTGGTATAAAACAAGACACATTCTTAACTTTATCTTTCCAACAGGTTATTCCTATGCAAGTTTCCCAGATGAATAGCTCATATGTATACTCTAGAATCACATTTTGATATTTTTTATTTTAATTCCCATGTTAGATTGTTTTAAAGTACTCATTGAGGCTAGTGTTTGAAAATAGACTAATTTCAGGTTTTAAAAAAAAAAGAAAAATACAATTTTAAAATTACAAACATGCATTATAAATTATGTGTAAATTAAAACCTCTGTATAGTTTGTATTCAAACTACACATAAATCATTGTCTTCATAGTTTGTGTTAAAACTATGCAGTTAAGTTGTACCCCTACATAGTTTATGTTGAAACTACACATATATAGCCTCTGGTTAGTTGAAGATTCAAAATGATGATATAATTATAATAATCATAATTAGCACTGTACTTGTTCTTTGATACATTGAGTAGGGTGTTTTTTGTAACCTGTTAAGCTGATGCAGTGACTATAAAACACTGATATTAGACATCATAACATAAAATAATGTTTAGGATTTTATGAATTTATCTCAATAATTTTGGTATCAAACTGTAGATTATAATTCACATTTTAATATTATACATTATTTAATTTCTTAATTTGGAAGTGAATATTAAAACAACACAATTAAACACCGATTTTTGTGTGTCACGTGGTATGTTGAATGGAGCACTGGTTCAAATTAGATGTTTGTGATGTCAAAATACAAAGTCTATAGTTTCATAGAGATTAGGAAGTCAAATTACCGACAGTAACTAGCTCACCGACAGTGGCCATGCTCACCCTTTTTCCATTTTTGGAAATGCCCCCTTATATACACTTACTTCTGTCTATGACATTTGAATAACCAATCGAAAGCTCAGAATGTCTCCCTAGTGGCTTTCTCAGCCATTTTCAAATATTACAATGTCATCTCATTCTTTTGATACAAATCTTCAAGTTGGTAAGGTGAGCCTTTAATCTTCTCAAAATTTCATATTTTTTTTAGACCCAAATACAGCTTAGTTACTACACTTGATAAATTATAGTGGAATTCTATGATATTTATATAGTAATTTATGATTTTTTAGTTATTTCAAATGTATATATAAAACTTAAAAAAAATTAAATTTGTTTCACATCCACCATGTGCAAAATTTTATAAAGCCTAGCAACATACGACAAGCAGCAAATGAGAATAAAAGTCGTAACTAAAAGAGATAATTGTTTGCTATACTTCTTAATTTACTGTTTTAAGAAAAATAAGTATAAGAACTTGCTTGTAAATAGTAATAATGTATATACATATATAATGTATAATAATTGAAATACTAGTTCACTAAAACACAGCCAAGACAGGTCACTTTGTAGAGACTAAAGGTCAGTTTTATATTATTGGATATGGTAACATGAGTGCATGTGTGCCATGTCATTGTAACTTCTGTATTGTTAGCCATGCAAACTGAAAGGTCAATATAATAAATATATATATAAATGTGTAATGTGATGAGATTTAACCTATTTAGCCAACATTTGTGTTTTTGTGTTATAATATGTAATCATTCTAGAATGAAAAAGGCATAATTTATATTTATTTCCTAATTTTTTATGGTGGTTACAAGATTGCTCAAATCAACCGAACCTACACAGAGATTCATTAGTGAAAATAACAGATAAACTATAAAGATTTTTCAAGAAATGTTTGATATCTCACACTGTTGTTCCTGCACAAAAGGTAACACTATC